AGACAGGACAGCTCTTCCTTAAGGTAGAATTCTAATTAATAATGCATATAAGAGGAACAATGACACTAGAAAAAGCCACCATTTGGCAAACAACACAATAATAACTGTTGTAGGCAAAAATCATCAAAGAATGCTAAAATCAGTGAATAAAAGCATGATGGGAGACAAGATGACTGCATAGCTTCAAATACTACAAGGAAAAAAATAGTAAATGCAATTTTTAAAAAACTGGCAGACAACACCATAACCAAGTGATCGAATGTAACACAGCCAGTATCCACATCTTGTACCAGCTGACAGGATGCCCTGAGAAGAGCAAAACATCACTTCTGTGGTATTTTTGCCAAAAAAGTATAGCTTTAATCTATTCACAAAAAAACATCGGACAAATCCAAATTAGTGGACATTAAAATGTATGGGCAATAATCTTCAAAAGGTCATGGTTATGAAGACAAAGGCTGCTGAAATACCCCAGATTAGAAAAGACTAAGGAGATAACAAATAAATGCAATATGGGATCCTAAACCAGAAAAAGAACACTAGTGGAAAAATTAGAGAAATTCAAATATGGTCTATAGATTAGTTAACAGTATTGTACTAATATTAATTGCCTGATCTAAATAACTGTTCTATGGTTATATAAAATGTTAATATTAGGGGAAGCTGGGTGAAGGTTATACAAGAACTATGTATAATTTTTGAAACTTTTTTGTAAGGAAAATTATTGATATACTAGTCTCTCTACTTTTATGTAGGCTGACATTTTCTCATAAGTCTTTTAAATGAAGGGAATAAACAAAAATACAGTCACTGATGTTAAAAACTCAACTATCAATCGTAAAATTAGGCACAGTTGAAGAAAAAATTAGTTATATGGAAGGCAGTTACAAAAATTAACCGGAAAGTAACTCAGAGAGATAAAGAGACAGAAGATATGAAAGTAAGATTAAGAAGTATGGAACAGAAAATCTGACAATCCCATCATACATCAAACACGAGTTCCAAAGCAGACTAAAGAAAATAAAGGGAAAGTAAGAAATAATGGATAATTTTCTAGAGATAACAAATAATAATAATGATTAGATTCTAGAAACATGAGTTCTAAGCAGAATAAATAAAAATATAGTCACCTCTAGACACAGCGCAGGCAAAGCTGCAAAATACAAAAATAAGAGATGCTTAATTAAGGGCCACTTTTAGCAATCAGGGAAAAAAACCACCTTACAAAGCAACAGTTGGAAAATAGCAGACTTATAAAAGCAACAATTAAAGTCATCATACCTGGAAGGACTGAGTAAAAATAACTGTCACCTATAATTACCATTTCAAGAAAGAGGGCAAAATAAATACATTTTCAGACAAAGACCAAGAGTTTACCATTAACAGACTTGCTGAGACATTAAAGAACATAATTCAAGCAGAAGGAAGCTAAATCCAAATAGATTTAAGTGGAATGCAAAAAGCAATGGTAAAATAAGAAATTGATACAGTGAATAAATCTAAAAACACAGAATTTATTGAATAGACTATCATGTTCCCTTTTAAAATAAATCAAATTGCAAAAAAAAATAGAAAATAAGAACAAAATAAAATAAAATAAAATAATAAAATAAAAGTGAACCTCTTGGACCAACTGTCACTAACTCATGACACCTTTGTGTAAGTAAAAATAAAATAAAATAAAATAAAATAAAATAAAAACCATGGCTTCAGCAAGATACTTTTCATGAAGAACAAAGCACCACACATGGAATCGGAAAAATCTCAACTAAGAATCTAGCTTTCTCTTATCTTACCTTGGCCAGAGGCCTCAGTTTCATCAGACAAAAAGTGAAGACATTTAGCTAAAAGATCCTTAACATTCCCAACTAGTTCTAGGACTAAGTGGGTAAAAAATAGGGTTCCCCAATTACCAGGACATCTTGCAAAACAAAGCTAGATATGATATAAAACAAGCTCCAGTGAGTGTATTTTTATAAAATATCTTAATAACTTCTGTTGAAAAAACTATAAATCTTAATTATATTTTAAATAAACGATTGAAATCAAAGCCATACCAATTTAGAATTCACAAACATCCACATTAAAATTTACATTTGCTCAGAAAACCCTTTCTCCCCTCACGAGGAAAACTAATAGGATTATAAAAGAAAATATAAAGTCCAGTCACTCAAGAAATATTTACTAAACATCTACTATGTGGCAAGAACTATTTTAGTCATCTGGGATATACTGGTGTAGGAAACACTTTAAACATACCCAAGATATAGCAATTATATATATATAATTGATAAGTAAATTATAAACCATCCTTTTTCCATAGAGTCAGGTCTGCAAGGATTTTTAAAGTAGAACTTATAATGTTGTTAATATTATTCTTAACAACGATAAAAATGTATTTTTAAAATACAGTTAACCCTTGAACAACATGAGTTTGAACTGCAAAGGTCCAATTATATATGGATTTTTTCAATAAATACTATAAATATACTTTCTCTTCCTTACGATTTTCTTAACATTTTCTTTTCTCTAGCTTACATATAATATATATACAAAATGTGTTAATTGTTTGTGTTATCAGTAAGGCCAACAGTAAGCTCTTAGTAGTTAGGTTTGGGGGCAGTCAAAATTACATGTGCATATTCGACTTCCTGGGGGGGTTGGTACTCCTAACCCCTGAGTTGTTGGTGAACTGTATATTATTCAAAGCTGTTCAGAAGAAATTCACTTCAGACTAAATCACTAAAGTTTAACTTTTTAAAAAATAACCAAAATGATTTGGAATATAAACAAATCCTGAAACACAAAAACCCTTAAGACTGTTTTATTTGTACCTGAAACAGCAGGTCCTCAACATCACTTAAGATTAGTCAGTCATTGTGGAACAGATTAAGGAACTCCATCATTAGGAGCCGCCATGTAGTCAGAATAAAGAATACCATTTTCTGTAATTATGGTTGTTCATTTCTGGAACAATTGTTATACAAGTTTTCCCGTTCTTTATTCTGAATTGTGCACTGCCAATCACTCAATAGAAAAAATCTCAGACTAGCAAAGGCCAAATTTAGAGAGGGAAATGAAAATCATCCCTTCAGTCTAGGCTAAATGTACTGACTACACAAAGAACTCCATACATCCGAAAGCACACAGATGTCTGCGCTAGTTCCCAGGGCTCAAACAATACCAGTCATTCAATAGCTTTCCTTTTACATAAGCTGATGTGAGAGAGCTCAGTCAGCTCTTCTGAACCACATAACCCAGGATCCTGGAACTCTAATAAAGCCTACATTTTTCTTCAGCACTGTTTTCATGTACTTTCTCTGGAAAGAAAACTTCGTTTTTCTCAAAAAATAAATCAGAAATCATCTCTTCTGTTTGATAAGTGAGATACTCAATCTAAAATTACTTTTCCATTAAAACCATAATCCTTAACACAAATCTAAGATCAACACTGAAAGACTATTTCATAGGCTATATTTGTAAGTGCATGAGTTTAAAATATAATTTTAAATACACTCCATCATGCTCATTACCAAATGTATACTATTTGGCTGCATTCTGTCTGTTTCAATCACATACTTTTAAAAACAGCATAAGACACAAAATAATTTCCCAAAAATTAAAAGAAATTTTAAGAGAAAAACTGGGAGGGGGAGGGGGGCTTTAATTTACACACACACTCAGCACTAACCACAGACATCAAAAATATAGTTATTCTTCACTGAACATCCCTTAGAAACTTACATAACACTATTTCCTACCTTCAAAGCAATTACTGATCCTTCCAGTGATAATCTTTATTAGTGGAGTCTTTGGCAAATTCTTGCCTTCAATATTGGTAAGTATCATGGATAAATTAAAGCCAAAGAAACTCTAATGTGCTTTTTAATCATATAGCAAACTTACTTCCTAAGACACTTACCAGACTTGCCACCCAGAAGTAAAGCTCATTAGTTTTAGGGGATAAAATGATAATAATTCATTTACTCATTATTAGATCCTGAATAGTCAAGAGTTGCCTATATATTCAGCTCCCTTGAACATGTACTATCACATAATCATTATCCCATACAGTGATACAGTGATAAAAGTAAATCAATCAAGACAAAGGAACACAAATGAACCTTTCTTTCACTTTCCCCAAGTTTTATTTTATTATATAATACTAATCCATTCCCTTTTAAAAACAAGTTTTTAAGCATTTTAAAATACTTGAAAGTCAAAGAAAACCAACTATTAAAATAGTTATTTACAGGTTATTTATCTTTAGATTTTAAACAATTATTAGTAATTGATTTCAGGTTCATGTTTAGTTACCTATATCTAGCCATGACAGACTCTGGCATGACAATACATTTAGTAGAGAAATAACAAGGAATGGTATATGGCAGGACTGAAGCATAGTAAAAGAGAAGCATGTGGGGACACAGTTCAAATTTTCTAATGGAACTTACCCATCCACAGGTTTAAGTTTCCCTTCTCATGTGAAAATAAACCTTTATAGCAAATATATGTTTAGCTAACTAGAAATGAATTACTTAACAACTTAATTTTTATTTTTCATTCAATACTGACATTAATACTCAAGAGTTTAATATAAAAGACACTAGTATTACAAAATGATTGTGTATATAAGTTATAAGATGCAGATTTTTTATATCATCTTGAGCTATCAACTACTACTCTTGTTATGTCTTCATTCCTCTTCTCTAACTTCTAATTATCCTCTCATAATTACAAAAAGTAAATACAGAAGGAAAACCAAGAATATATATATATATGGCTATACCATAAGTGGTATTAGAAACAAAAAACTATTAACAGAAATACCTTACTTTAAGAAAACAACACAAATTCTCACATTCTACTTGACAAAGCCCAAAGAATATGAAATATGATTTTGATCTTTCTTTTCTCTTGGGGGTGAGAGGTGTCTATGCTAGTGGAGAGAAACCAGGAGGAGGAGATGCAGTATCTTTCATACATTACACAAAACTTACCCACTTGAAGGATCTAAGGCAACAGCTCTCGGTTGATCCAACTCTTGCCAAAATAAAACTTTTCGTAAAGATCCATCTAAATTAGAAACTTCAATCCGATTAGTTTCAGAATCTGTCCAGTATAACTTTTCTCCAAGCCAATCACATGCCAACCCATCGGGTGACAATAATCCGGAAACAACAACATTCTGTACACTCTCAGTTTTGTTAAACTCTGTTCGTTTAATGGCTTCTTCGCTGACATCACTCCAGTATATCAAGCCATGACCAAACACAAAGTCCACTGCAGCTGCATCCTCCAAGCCTCCAACTACAATCGTAGCATTCTCTTTGCCATTTGTAGCATCAACCAATCGTAAGTCCCGTCTGTTTGCATAAAGCAGCAAAGGGGCCGCTAGAACAAAAAAGAAAAATATATAAGTAAATGTAAGGAAATGTATTGGTTCTTACAAACTGAGTTTCAAATCAGCATTAGTGAACAAATACTATCAAAATAAGAGTAAATCTATGGAAGACTGTCTTGAAATCGTTTCACAAATCAAATATTTGATTGTAGCATTTTGAATACAAAAAGTTGCAAGAGAGGAAATTAATTCTACCAGGACAGTCTTTTCTTGTTAAAATATCCGTCAGATAAAATTTAGAAGCTTGGCCATACTAAGAATTGGCACGGATATGGAGCCAGTACAACACTCACACTCTACTGGGGAAAATGTAAAATGATGCAGTCACTTTGGAAAGTTTGGCAGTTTCTTAAAGGGTTAAACATACAAACTATCATGTGATCCAGCCATATCATGCCAAGGTATTTACTCAAAAGAAATAAAAGCATATTTAAATACCTAGACCAGTACATAAATGTTCAAAGCAGCTTATTTGTAATAACACAAACTGGAATCAACCCAAATGTCATCAACAAACTAATGGATGACTAAATTCTGATATATTAATACAATTAAAAAAATGAACTTGTACGTGTAATATTGGTGGATCTCAAAATAATTATGTAGCGTGAAAGAAGGCAGACAAAAAAAGACTATATGATGCATGATCCCATTTATATAAAATTTTAGAAAACTCAAATTAATCTATTATGGCAGAAAGCAAAAGATCGGTGGTTGTCTAGAGGTGGAGGAGAGAGTGAAAAAGAATAGGAGGCAGGGATAATAAATGGACATGAGAAAACTTATGGGTGATAGCTACATTGTACTGATTATGATGATGGTTCGAGAGATGTATACATGTCAAAACTTACTAAATTTTATACTTTAAATATGTTCAATTTATACTTTAAGCAAGCAGTTAAATAAACAGTCTGGTAGAGACAGTTCTTAACAGAACTGTTTTATTCTCTTTTATGTTATTATTAGAATGACCTTTGAATAACACCTAATACCAAAACTAAATATAAAGCCTATCCTCAAGAAATATTTAACTATGTAGAAAGCTGAAGCTATTAGGCCTGAAGTAGTATAAATTCTATGGTTTTGGTTATTTTAAACTATCTGTTCCAAGTTTCAGACATTTACTTTTCTGGTATCAACAGTAATTAATGATCTAGAGTATCACTATCCAACAGACCTTTCTGTGATGACAGAAATGTTCTCTCCACTATGCGATAAAGTAGTCTCTGGCCATATACGGCTATGAAGCACTTAGAAAATGGCTAGTGTGACTAAGAAATTAAACTTTTAGTTTTATTTACTCTTAAGACAAGTGGTCATATAGCACAGGCTAAGATGAAGAACATAAATGAGGTAGCAAAAACAAGACCAGAGTTAGGACGCAATATTGTACATAATATTCTCTCACACTTAAGTTTCGAAGGTTTTAAAATGTGTCATCCAAAGCCAAGATCAGGTACCATTTAAAAGCGACCACTCCCTCTTTTCTAAGAAAATAATTTCAAAAACTAAAGATGCTCAAAAAAGTGACATTTAAGTCAATTTATGGACTGTCTGCTAAACAGTTATGAAGTCTACTATTTTCATTTGTAAGTAAAATAAACATGAACTTCTCTTCTAAGCTTAAATCTAACTTTCTTAGTCAAAAACAAATGATAGCTTTCATTAAAAGCAACTAAGAATCCTTTCTGCTTATTCTGTGTATTTACTGCTGTTATTAGCAAAATCAACTTCCCTCTCAGATTCACTTTTAACTTATTTTGGGCCATCACACATCACACTGATATAATCAGTCCCCATACTGTCTGTCCACTGCATTATCTTATCTCACTGTGGTTTTGATTTGCATTTCCATAAAAGCTAGTGATGTTGAGCATCTTTTCATGTGTCTATTTGTTATCTGTATGTCTTCTTGGGAGAAGTGTCTGTTCAGGTCCTCTGCCCATTTTTTAATTAGATTGTTTTGTTGTTGTTATTGAATTGTATAGTTCTTTGTACATTTTGGATATTAGGTCCTTATCAGAGGCGTTGCTTGCAAACATATTTTCCCATTCAGATGGTTGTCTCTTTACCTTGTTGATGGTTTCTTTTGCTGTGCAGAAGCGTTTTAGTTTGATATAGTCCCAATCATTTATTTTTGCTTTTACTTCACTTGCCTTTGCAGTCAAATTCATAAAATCCCCTTTAAGTCCAAGGTCCATGAGTTTAGTTCCTATGTTTTCTTCTATGCAATTTATTATTTCAGGTCTTATATTCGGGTATTTAATCCACTTTGAGTTAATTATGGTATGTGGTGATAGACAATCTAGTTTCATTTTTTTGCAGGCAGCTTTCTAGTTTTCCCAGCACCACTTATTGAAAAGGCATTCCTTTCTCCACTGTGTTTTTGGCATTTTTGTCAAAAATCATTTGTCTATATAAATATGGGTTTACTTCTGGACTCTCGATTCTGTTCCACTGGTCCCTGTGTCCGGTTTTCTGCAAATACCATGTCGTTTTGATTACTGTCACTTTGTAGTATAATTTGAAGTCAGTAAGAGTGATACTTTCAGCCTTGTTCTTTTTTCCTAAGGCGGACTTTGGTGATTCGGCGTCTTTTGTGCTTCCACTCTAATCGGATGATTTTTTTTGCTCTATTTCTTTAAAGAATGCAGATGAGATTTTGATGGGGATTGCATTAAATCTGTATAATGCTTTGAGTAATAAGGTCATTTTAACTACATTGATTCTTCCAATCCAAGAACACAAAATATCTTTCCATTTCTGTGTATCTTCAATTTCTTTTAACAGGTTCTTGTAGTTTTCATTATGTAGGTCCTTCACATCTTTCGTTAGATTTATTCCTAGGTATTTTATTCTTTTTATTGCAATTACAAAAGTAATTTTTTTCCAATTATTTTTCTGACAATTCATTATTAGAGTATAGGAACTTTGAACACTCGGATTTTGAACATTGACTTTGTATCCAGAAACTTTACTGTATTTGCTTATTGTTTCGAGTAGTGTTCTTGTGGAGTCTTTAGGGTTTTCTATATAGAGAATCATGTCATCTGCAAATAATGACAGTCTAACTTCTTAATTTCCTATTTGGATGCCTTTTATATCTTTCTCTTGCCTGACTGCACTTGCTAGGACCTCCAATGTTATTTTGAATAACAGTGGCGATAGTGGACAGCCTTGTCTTGCTCCTAATCTTAGAGAGCAGGTTTTTAGTTTTTCACCATTAAGTATGATGTTGGCTGAGGATTTGTCATATATGGCCTTTATTAAGGTACCTTCCTTCTATACCAATTTTGTTAAGTGTTTTGATCATAAATGGATGCTGTATCTTGTCGAAGACTTTTTCTGCATCTATTGATATATGATCATATGATTCTTATTTTTTAATTTATGTGGTGTATCACATGAACCAATATGCGTATGTTGCACCATCCCTGTGCCTTTGAGATGAAGCCCACTTGAGCGTGGTGTATAATCTTTTTAATATGTTGCTGTATTCAGTTAGCTAGTATCTTATTTAGGATTTTTACATCTGTGTTCATGAGAGATATTGGTCTGTAGTTTTCTTTTTTTGTGTTATCTTTACCAGGTTTTGGCATAAGGGTAATATTGGCCTCATAAAACGAGTTAGGAAGTATTGCCTCCTCTTCAGTGTTTTGGAAGAGTTCGAGAAGAATGAGTATTAAATCTTCTTTGAATTTTTGGTAGAACTCACTGGTAAAGCCATCTGGTCCTGGACTTTTACTTTTTGGTAGGTTTTTTATGATTATTTCAATTTCCATACTGACTTGGTCCATTTAGATTCTCCACTTCTTGATTTAGTCTAGGAAGGTTGTATCTTAGTAATGGTTCATTTCTTCTAGGTTATTAAATTTGGTGTTATATACTTTTTCATAGTATTCTTGTATGATTCTGTGGTGTGTCATCATTTCTTCTCTTTCATCCCTGATTTTGTTTGTGTCCTTTCTCTTTTTTCTTTAGCGAGTCTAGACCAGGATTTGTCAATTTTATTAAACTTCTCAAAGAACCAGCTCTTTGTTGCATTTATTTTTTTCTATTTTTTTTTTTTTGTTTTCAAATTCATTTAATTCTGCACTAAATTTGGATTATTTCTTTCCTTCTGCTGATTTTAGGCTTCCTTTGTTCTTCCTTTTCTAGTTTTTTAAGATAAAGCATTAAGATGTTTATTTGGGCTCATTCTTATTTTCTGAGATAGGCCTGTAATGATATGAACTTTCCTCTTATGACCACTTTTGCGTGTCCCAAAAGTTTTGATATGTTGTATTATCATTATCATTCGTTTCTATGTATCTCTTGACCTCTTATTCCTTCTCTGACCCATTCTTCAGTAGCATGTTGTTTAATCTCCATGTATTTGTGATTCTTCCTGCTTTCTTCTTAGAGTTGATCTCCAGCTTCGAAGCATTACGATCAGAGAATATGACTGGTATGATTTTGACCCTCTTATATTTGTTGAGGCTATCTCTGTGTCCCAGTAAATGGTCGATCCTTGAGAATGTTCCATGTGCACTAGCGAAGAATGTATAAGCAGCTGTTTTGGGATGAAAGGCTCCGTAAATGTCAATTATGTCCAGTTGGTCTAATGTGTCATTTAAGGATGTTATTTCCTTATTGATTTTCTGTTTGGATGATCTGTCCATATCCAACAGTGGAGTATTTAGGTCCCCTATTATGATAGTGTTTTGGTCTGTTTCTCTCTTTAGTTGTTAGTAATTGCTTTATACATTTTGGGGCTCCCTGAATGGGAGCATAGATATTAATAAGTGTTACGTCTTCTTGGTGCCTGATTCCCTTTATCATTATGAAGTGTCCCTCAGTATTTGTCTGAAAAATGCTTTCTAATCCCTGCTCCTTTTCCTCCCCTTTGAGAATGCCCATCATTCTTATGTTTCCTTTCCTGATGGTATCAGCTAGTTCTTGTATTTCTTTCATTATTTTTCATTCTTCAGTTTCTCTCTTCTTCCTCTTG